TCTCCACCATGGCCAAGACCAAAGAGCTCTCCAAGGATGTCAGGGACAAGATTGTAGACCTGCACAAGGCTGGAATGGGCTACAAGACCATTGCCATGCAGCTTGGTGAGGTGACAACAGTTGGTGCGATTATTCGCAAATGGAATAAACACAAAAGAGCTGTCAAACTCCCTCGGCCTGAGGCTCCATGCAAGATCTCACCTCGTGGAGTTGCAATAATCATGAGAACGGTGAGGAATCAGCCCAGAACTACACGGTAAGATCTTATCAATGATCACAAGGCAGCTGGGACCATAGTCACCAAGAAAACAATTCGTAACACACTACGCCGTGAAGGACTGAAATCCTGCAGCGCCTGCAAGGTGCCCCTGCTCAAGAAAGCACATATACATGCCCGTCTGAAGTTTGCCAATGAACATCTGAATTATTCAGAGGACAACTGGGTGAAAGTGTTGTGGTCAGATGAGACCAAAATGGAGCTCTTTGGCATCAACTCAACTCGCCGTGTTTGGAGGAGGAGGAATGCTGCCTATGCCCCCAAGAACACCATCCCCACCGTCAAACATGGAGGTGGAAACATTATGATTTTGGGGGTGTTTTTCTGCTAAGGGGACAGGACAACTTCACCACATAAAAGGGACGATGGATGGGGCCATGTACCGTCAAATCTTGGGTGAGAACCTCCTTCCCTCAGCCAGAGCATTGAAAATGGGTCGTGGATGGGTATTCCAGCATGACAATGACCCAAAATACACGGCCAAGGCAACAAAGGAGTGCTCAAGAAGAAGCACATTAATATCCTGGAGTGGCCTAGCCAGTCTCCAGACCTTAATCCCATAGAAAATCTGTGGAGGGCGCTGAAGGTTCGAGTTGCCAAACGTCAGCCTCGAAATCTTAATGACTTGGAGAAGATCTGCAAAGAGGAGTTGGACAAAATCCCTCCTGAGATGTGTGCAAACCTGGTGGCCAACTACAAGAAACGTCTGACCTTTGTGATTGCCAACAAGGGTTTTGCCACCAAGTACTAAGTTATGTTTTGCAGAGGGGTCAAATACTTATTTCCCTCCTTAAAATGCAAATAAATTTATTACATTTTTGACATGCGTTTTTCTGGATTTTTGTTGTTATTCTGTCTCTTACTGTTCAAATAAACCTACCATTAAAATTATAGACTGATCATTTATTTGTCAGTGGGCAAACGTACAAAATCAGCAGGGGATCAAATACTTTTTTCCCTTACTATATAATGTATACAGTTAATTTTGTTAACTCTATTCATATAAGTTGCAGGCAACGTGTCATAATTTTTACGACTCTCTCAGTTGAAAAGGTCAACATTTTGACAGCGGAGACAACTAAAACCCATTCCCGTTGTTTCCAGTTCGTGTATAAATGTCGAGTTCATTCGTGAAAGAAAGCGAGCTACTAATTAATTAATGAGCGATGTAAACACATTTTTGTGTGTGCATAGACACCTTTTGAAAATGAATTGCATTTTAGGAAGAAGAAGAAACAAATGCTCCTGAAATTAATTCTAAGATTTGTGCATTAGGTGTTGCCAAATTTCGGCAATAAATGTTGTAAGTTGACGTCAACAGAGACGACCAGATGCCAGAAAGACGATAACTTGGATTGCAGGCCTAACCAATATTATAAAAAAACTCAAATGTTGGCTGTACAATTGCTACTGAGCCTGGTGAGGAGTGGCAGACTGAAGTAGAAGAATGCAACAGTGTTGCAGCCTGGTCAGGATATTGTGTGTTCCACAGTGCACAGTGTGGGTATAGAGTTACTCCTTAAGTGTTTTTTTCATTTATGGAAACAATATTCAATTGTTAACCCCATTTAAAAAAAAACCAGTTAGTGACATTTTAATAGGAACACTGCACGTGAAAATATTATTGTGCGGACTGTGCAAAAACCTTTGACCGTGGGTGTAAATTCGCTTGCCGACTCAAAAATCCAGATTGCACCGTGATATAATTAAAATACTGGATATTATTTTATTTTCTACACCCGTGGACAGCTAATGCCGGCAAAAAAAGGCAGTTGTATAACAGGTCTAATTTTTTGTCCTCTCTGTTCACAGTAACTGTATTGGTCATCGATATCGTATGGAATTTTACCAAGTGCGATCGTGTTACCATCCAAGTGGAGTATTACCCAACTCCCGTGTTAGAATCAAAATGTGCTCGACCGCTTCCCGTCAGCCGCTCGCCGGCTCAGCGACACGACACGAGCCTTCAATAAACACGGTAGGCGGCGGAAAGGTTTTGAGATGCCTACCAAAAAAAAAGTTGGATCGTGACCCAGCGATACAGCTTTTTTTTATTTTGAAGCTGACATCTTCGCATCAAAGTTACACGTGCGGACTGGGGCGGGGGGGGGTTAGCCCTTGGGCTAAGTGTGCACCGTGTACACTGGTGGTACACGGTGCACATTCCCGGACGGAGTGGACGCATGTGCCCGAAGCACGGCCACTACCGATGTAACAAGAAGTGAAATTTTGTATCAATCACAGAGGGATGTCTGTGATGATGATGATGATGGACTATGTTTGACCCTGGGCATAAATTGAACTCGTGGCCTCATTTTAGCAGCGATGTAGCAGGTGCGGACAAGGTCGTGGTGGCACGTGATGCACTGCTGTAGTGGGAGGCCTAATGAGGGGGCATTTGCGCAAGTGAGGGGCACTGGTCGCCAGTCGGATGGCTGTGACCCCCTATGCCCAAACCAATATTTGTTCTAGAATCGATTCATGACCGTGCGTTGTGTAATTCCATGGAATTGCAGCATATGTATAAGGCTGCATGCAAGTGTAGAGGTGTAGTGGTGAGTAAAATGCGTTACAAGCCCAGTGACCCGAGTTCAATTCCTGCTCACGGCCAACATCGGTGACGAATATCTAAACTGGTCCTGGGCTTTCATAGGTCACTCGCTAACAGCACTTCGCCTCAACAGTGTTGAGGGCTCCATCTACGTGATGTCTTTGTCTTTGCGTGCAACGTGCGTGTACGTTGCCAAATTGTACGTGCGCACACGTGCGAGTGTCCATGTTGAACCTCTTTTGCACCGTACGTGGCCAACCGCGCCAACCGGCGACACGCAGGCGCGGCCGGCCTCCGTGGGGGCGTGCGGCCGCTAAAAAAATTTTTCTCACCGTAGTCGCGGTCACGCCGGATGAGCAGCAGCCTCCCCGAGTCTCCCTGCCGGCCCCCCCTCCCTCGCTCCACGCACAGCATCGCGCCCCCACCACCCGCGCTGCCGTTGCGGTGCCGGTCGACGGTGCATCTTGAAAAAAGAAGAAGAAGAAGAAGACGACGCAGGCGTTGTTGCGGAAGTAATGCTGAGTCGCTCCTGCCCTCATTCCACCTTTTCTGTGTCTCACTGCGATAGACTATTGACGGGTGTTCAATGCTCTTTGTCGTTTGTTCAGCGGACTTGTGATGGCTTGCCATGTTATGGCACTAGGGAAATCGTCGTTATTGTTGCTGTTGTTGTTACTGAAATCAGCTTAGTTCGTTTGGGGTCGACTACCTGCAAAATATGTCTACACTCAGCACACCACATCTAGTTTCCCTCTTGCTATGGCTGTGGCTACAAGTAATGTACCTAGTCTGTTCTGCCAGCAACGTTCAGTGAGACATTAAGCTCGAGGTAAAGAGAATACGTACCCATTCACTAACAATACTTTTTGTATATTTCTTACCAATCGTCCTTCTTCCCGTGGTTGCTATTTCCAACTGCTCACACACATTACAGCTCAGCCTGTGGCTGCGGTGTTGAGACGGCTGATGAGGGGACGTGTGTTGCGTTGGTGTTTTCAGTTGTTTCGTTTCTTATATCAATTGTAATGCATCTACATTCATGCAAACGCGTTGCGTGCAGTGTTGATGTTTATATGGTAGCTATGTACGGCATCTTCAGATAACCCAGTATTTATATGCCATTATTATTCTACAGTTTACTTTCACATTGTGTTTTAGGCTTGTTAACTATTTGTTTTTTTTTTTTCTGAGAGATTGTGGACCAAACTCTGCCTTCTTTAAAATTATAATCTATTTTTTATTTTACCAGGTAAGGCCCACTGAGCTGTATAGCTCTTTTTCAGAAGTTTCTCATCATGTGGAAATGTATAGCAGCCAAATGCCCTCAACGCATGTTTCTAAATGTGGAGGGAAAAACCAGAAGTCTCAGAGAAAAAAAATCCACTCGATCACGGGGAGCGAGACACGCAAACTCCAACTATACAGGCGTCAGGGTCGGGATCAAACCCACGACCCTCTGTATACCTGGCGAGGTAGTTAACATCTTTCTCCTGACCATTCTCACTGCAGAGGCTTCATCTCCTGCTCAGGCACAGGTTCCGGTTATCTTCTCTGCTTTTGAGTTAATTTCCCTGTGGAATGTCTCGAGTCATCTCCTTTTCCTCTCTGCTGTGCACCCAGCCCCCATTCTTGAGCAATTGCCCTCCAAAATGATTTTGTAAAAAAATCTCTTTACCAAGTCGATGTGCACGTGCCGCTTATTTGTACGCCATTTTGAGATGCACTCCCAGTTAGCTGCTGTATAGATCCACATTGTATTGCTTATTACATTAGTCACAGGCCAAAGCATCTTAGCTCCAATTTAGAAAACCCTGCAGCCAGCAGAAATACTTTGCTCTGATGGGGAACAGCTACAGAAAATACATTACACGACTACTCTGCATTCTTTTTTTTAATCGGCCTCCTTAATCATGCACTAAATGGTACCTTCGACTGTGTGTGTTCATCATCAAATTATGCTCCCTTGCGTTGATTTAAAGTGCACGCACAACCATTGTTTCCCCATAATACGTTGCGCACAATCATTGCCGACAGGACTGACGCCAAGTAAAATTACATTTAAAAAAAACTCAGAACCTGAGTCTCAGCAGTGTCGCCTTAGTGCTTTGACCTGAGCCTCGGTCAACCGAGCCACCTGGAGCAGCTTCCGAGCGGTTACTAAACGAGCGAAAAATTTGGCGGAGCAGCCGAGTAAGTCATCGACACCACCCTTGCCTGCGAGTGTGGGCCTGATCGGGCTGCGGCGTGGCACAGGTCGTGAACCCCGCTGGGGCTCCACACTGCTCCCTCGACCTGCCGCCGTGACGAGTCACCGCATTGTCGGATGCACACGTTGGCGGCACGGAATCGCTCAAGATAAACGCGTGCAGCGGACATCTCGTCCATCTCAATGGCCACCCAAGATATGGACCCTCTCAAAGGGCAGGTGCACTCGGGGTGAGATGGGAGACGCGGGTCGTTACCCCCCCCCCCCCCTTGACCTATGACCTCACGGCGAGGTTACGGGGTTCCCCTTCGATTTTGCACGCACATGGACGGGCAGCGAGGCTCGTAGATACGTTAGAGATATGACCGCGAGGCGCTTGACTTTTTAAAAAACTTACTTTACAAATGCAGTGCATGACACACATTAATAAGGCGTTTGATGTGTCTTGCATCGCTTTTTGAGATTGGGGAACGGTGGTTGCAAATGTAATTTCACTGCACGATAAACCCGGTGACCTCAGTTGCATTTATGGCCATGGTTGGCGTTCGTGGTGAGTAATATGTGAACCAGGCATCGCCACTTTCCATCGGTGAGTAAAGCTTAACTTTCAGAAATTTTCATTCTTGTATTATGCAATTGCCCATGCCACCAGACACCAAATAATACTTATACAAATATATTTCTTACGTGCAGTGCAGCACTCAGAAAATAATTTACTACGTGCAGGAATAGAGATATGTGAATATAATACAATATGACTAAAAAACGATACTCGGGACTCAAAATATGATACCTATTTAAAAGTTAGAACATTACATTTTGAAATGTGGTATTGATCTGCCGCAGTTGATATGCGTATTTACCCTTGAGGCAATTTCGATAACACCATCATAACAGTATACGTGAATTATAACTTGTACACGTGCACAGAAGTGAATGCATTTACCAGAGGGCCGTGTAAAGATCAGCCGTGGTGTGGGCTCAGATTAAGTTGTGTTGACGAACACAGGCAACAAAACTCACGTCGGAATGCGCAGCTGGTTAAATGATTCTTTACTCCCACCCCCCCGCTCCCAGTTCACGAGACATGAAAACGAGCGCTAATTGGAAGCACGTGGACACGCGCGTGTTTACGAGTGCACGTGTGCATGGCCGGTTATGTTCCTGGCAAAAAGCAAATTCGTGGAATTCCAAAAATCTTGTGTCTAATTCCAACAGAAATGATTTATCTTCGCTGGGGTGGGGTAGGGGGTGGTGTGTATGCAATTATTAATTTAACAGTTGATAAATGTACAACCGCCTTTGTCAATCCATTGCTGGATGAAGGCCTATCCCACATTGTCAGTTGTACGCGCACTTGACCCCGCCACACGCGTTCTGCCGACGGAGCGACATGCGTCGTTGACGAAAGATTTCGTGGCAACGTCTTTGTACCAAAAGCCAATTTTATAGCGCTCGGTGGACAGAGGCGAGGGGATTGAAGACGTTTAGCGCCATCGTTTCAATTGCCATTGGGGAGAACGAAGCGCACGCATAATAGGAGTGTGTGCTGATCGCTTAGGGGGTGTAAATAATACTGGTAGGAAACGTAGTGGACTGGAAGCCCAACCGGGATTAATTCACAGGAGGCAGGGGATTAATTGTGGATGTCTGTGGATGTCTGTCCACGTGGGAGGGGTGGGGCTGGGTGGAGAGGGGAGGGTAGGGAGGGGCTGGGTGGGGAGGGGCTGGGTGGGGAGGGGAGGGTGGGGAGGGGCTGGTCACCCCGTGGTGCCCTTATATGGACTGGAAGCCCAACCGGGATTAATTCACAGGAGGCAGGGGATCAATTGTGTATGTCTGTGGATGTCTGTCCACGTGGGAGGGGTGGGGCTGGGTGGAGAGGGGAGGGTGGGGAGGGTCTGAGTGGGGAGGGTGGGGCTGGGTGGGAGGTGGGAGGGGTGGGGCTGGGTGGGGAGGGGCTGGTGGAGAGGGTGGGGCTGGGTGGGGAGGGGTTGGGTGGGGAGGGGTTGGGTGGGGAGGGTGGGGCTGGGTGGGAGGTGGGAGGGGTGGGGCTGGGTGGGGAGGGTGGGGAGGGGCTGGGTGGGGAGGGTGGGGCTGGGTGGGGAGGGGCTGGGTGGGGGGTGGGAGGGGTGGGGCTGGGTGAGGCGGGGCTGGTCACCCCGTGGTGCCCTTATAAAACTCAACGTTTAACCTACTCACGCCGGCTTGTGCCCGCCCTCACAGTCGGGCATATTTGCGGAATACACCACGTGGTGCCGCCGTTGACCCTGGCCATTGACCGAGCAACCCAACGTTCCTACCAGCTCCCTCCGCAGGAATGTGTTTGGGGGGAATAAATGTCGCTAAGTATAGGGTTAAGAAGGAGAGCCATTTTATGATAAAAAAATAAAAGTTGTGAAGAAATGTTATAACGTGGCTGCCTGCGTGCAGTTATTTAGTTATTGGGTTAAATACTGCTCGTTGAAAGAGAAGCCTTATTTATGGCTACGTTGAGAGAAAGAAAAAAAAAGCTCAGGAAATTACCAAAAGCAAAGCAGTTGAGTAATTAGTGCAACAATCTTAGCAAAATTAGTATACTAATTGGGCTTGCAAATTAAAACTTAAGAGTCAAACGAGAATTAATCGTGCCATGAAAACACACTGGCCTTGGGTACAGAGCAATGGGCATGAAATGAGGTCAACAAAACGCACCCCCCTCAGGCGGTTTACAAACAGCATTAGTCTTAGGTAATAAATTACTTCCGATCCAATTTTTTTGAATTGAAAAAAAACCCCGAAATTGTGTACATGTTTCTATAAGACATTGCTTGACCTAGATAATGAAAGAAGTGCATATAAAGGCACGTAAACATATCCTACAGATAACAAAGATTACTCTAACAGCTCTTTGGCGCCAACAGCTTTGGTCACAATGACAACTTTTTATCTTTGTTCAATCCACTGCTGGACGAAAGCCTACCCACACCCATGTCAAGTCATTGACGGGCGGGTTGTTTATCTATAACTTTATACGATTGTTCACCTGATCACTCTAACAATTATTAGTTCGATTACTCGGTGAAGAGAAGCCTTATTTAACATACAAATAGTTGAAACACGATTTCCCACGTGTGCCGTTGTGCAGGACGTCACCTGCTTAGCAACATCAGCCACGTCACCGCGGGATTTTGGGGCCGCTGCGAAATGTCAACTCCCTCGCCAGGTATGCAGGAAGTCGCTGGTTCCATCTCGACCCTGACACCTGCTGTCTATTTGGATTTTTCTCCAGGTCCTCCGGTTTTTTCCGTCCACATTCAGAAACACTCGTTGAGAGTATTTGGCTGCTAAACATGTCCACGTGATAAGCCACTTCATTGAGCTATCATTTGTGGCCAGGTTGATTCTGAAAAAAAGAGCTATAAAGCACAGTGAGCCTTACCTGGTAAAAATATTAATACTTTCAAACAATTAAATTTGTAATCTGCCAGAGTAATTGACCACACAAAAAATAGTCGATTACAAGTTTTAGTTGATTAATCGACGATGGCTCGCGCAAGCTCTGATTTAATCCCACACGTGAGTGGCCCAGATATCTGACCCCATGGCACGATGCGATTCAACTCGACATGCTCTTAAACCATCAACATCCACGAGATCAAAATGTTCAAAAACCACCCCCCCTGCCCAGTGACATAACCCTTCAAATTATTTTCTCATCTCAGTCACTCAGGCAGCATTGTTTCACAGGTAAATACAACAGCGTGCTAAAAAACTAAATCAATATATTTTGTTTGACCATTATTCTTTTTTCACCGATGTTTTTGTTATAAAAATGTCGCACCTAATCTTGTTTGTTGTGCACTACATGCCATGTCCATGGAAATCTGAAAATAGTTGCTGTATTTTGCCAATATGGTCCACAATAGCGCAATCATTTAATGTAGAATATACATTTAAGACATTGCTTGATGTAATTCTGCAGTTTGAATCAATGCAGTCACACTAATAAATCCTCACCTGTGGTGGTGGATATTTTGAACACCATCCATTTCAAGCATTCCAGCGATGCATCAGTTTTTGATTCAGCGAGGGAATGGCTATGGATGACGCGTGATGCGTCTATGCTTGGCGGGAACGTAACGGAATCTCGCCATTTTTGCAGCAACGAAGGAAGATAGCAACGGACGAGTCAATTTGTCCTTCCAAAGGTCGGTGGGCTTTCTGCCACTTTGCCCAAACACCGAAGCGTCACGAATTTCTCTGCGCGCAGGTCTCGGCAATGGAATCTTTTGACTAAGAGGTAGAAACAGAGCCACACAATTGCCCCTTGATCCACGTAGCCACCCACTAAGCCACTTGAGCCACCCTCTAAGCCAGATAATTACCCCCTGAGCCCCCACAGCCACAACACCCCGAGCCTCAGATCTCAGGGGCTGCGTGAGCACAGGGATGGGCTCAAAGTTAGCACTTGGATGAGCATCCACTGAAGAGATGTTAGGTCCGCTGGGGGGGGTGGGCAGCGTCAGATGCTCAGTGCACAGTAGGTGGCTCTCTCCCCTCTGGGCCACGGTTCATTCCACCCAGTGCCCAAGGATGGCACTGATGAGTATGGTGCTGCAGGAAGTGCTGTTCGGGGGGGGGATGTGAAGACTTCTGCTATGCTCTGCAGATAACGTAGCTCCTGCGGTGCACTTCATTAAAGCGGCTGGTGATCGCTGTAGTGTCTCGGCTAAAATGCCACTCGATAAAATAAACCTCACGAAATGCATAATTAACGCTGCCAAATAACAGCATAATAGTAGTTGGTTGATTGAATTGTTCAGAGTGGAGACAGCAGATAAATGTAAGAATTTTACAGTCAGTATATATGAAAACTGGCAAAACGTTTTTTGTTGTTGTCTAATTCGGTCAATAATTCTGCCCTCTGCTCTGAAGAAGAGCCCTTGTCCAAATGGAATGATGATGATGTGTGATTTTTTTTTTTTAGGCAGCACTATTGCCAAATTTTAGTGAGTCTTGTTTGTAGGTCAGTGCAGGGTGGTGTAGGCAGTGGCCTGGGACCGGTGCCACTCACATTAGCCATGGTCGAGGAATCGAACCCATGTTGCCAGGTTGATATAGCAGCACACCGAACATTACGCCACCACTCCCACCAAACATGCAGTACGTGATGTGATAAAACCACGCGACTAACCTCCAAGCTGCGTGGATAAAACCGTTCCCACCCTGCCACTCTCTGAGCTGCAAAGCGTTTCCCCTGAGCGAATGCCAACTCCCCAGCGCGTTTCGTTTGTCGCATCCGCGGGAACGTTTCGAAGGTCGGGTAAATCACGAGCCGCTTTGGCACCGCCGAGAGAGCGTCCGGATAAATCTCCACTCGGGGAAGACCGATATGAGACTCACGTGAGCCTGGGAACGTCGCCTGAATCTCGGGGGATAAAAATAATAACTCGCGCCGCTGGCACGTGGCGTTCATGAACAGGTGCGCTCGGCAACAGAATAATTTGTCTCGCCAATTCGGGTCGCCGGTGCCCCGCTGTTTAATATTCAATCCGGCGTTACCTCTCCGCCACAAGGCCACCGTGGCGCGCTCATATTAACGGCGGAAAAACCCGCGCGCGGAGGTGCTCATTTGCCGGTCCGGTCAGCCGTTTAGTTCATTTTTATGAATGCGTATTCTTGATTGTCCACGTTCAAACAATCCCCAACCTGCTCCTACGAAATGATGAATGTTCACTTGAGCCATACGCTGCCCCCAGCCCTGTTATGTAACAGCGTGGGGGTTTATAAACCAGTTAAAGGTAGATTCAACCAAAAAGAAATAGCTCACTGTGTGTTTGTGTATGCCTGTAACGAGGACGTATGTTCTGCGCTGTCTGACAAGCGTTTGAGATTCATTATATGGTGACATTTAATTTACTTCGAGGCAAGTACGCGATTGACATCTTAGTGATGTCACAGGGATATCACTCACGTGGTTACTAAAATGTGTACGGAGTAACATCAAAAGAGACCTGTGACGAAGCACCTGGTGGTGGTTGCATTGTCTCATTAATGAAGCTTCGATCTTGTGTCCGACAGCCGGAGGTCACCCGGCCTCAGCCACGCATCTGTAAGGTTATTTTTTTTTGGAGTTGCGTCTTACTGCGGTTACATTTCGAACTTGCTCAAATGACATTCACAAATGCACACCCATTGCCCTCATTAGCCTCACGTGTCCCTTCCTGTGGAAACTCCTGCGTGACTGTGAATGAAGCGTAGCTCGCGGAAGAGTGCAGGAGAGGAAAGGGGGCTTGGAGTCTCGAGAAGCGGATTATTTAAATTATCGTGTACACCATCCCGAGACGTCATCAAGCACCCCCGTTAATCGTGTGACATTAATCCAATATCCCAGAGTTTTAATCGGTATTAGATTAAGCCTGGGAAAATGTCGTGCCGTAACAGCACATTTTTTTGGCTCCCGTTTCTCTCCAAACGGTGAACCAAAGAAATTCAAAGGAGGACATTGCACAAAGCTGACGTGCCACCCAAAAAGGCAGGGCTTACAATAACATGGAATTTTCAGAAACAAAACTTTATTTCCTAATGAGATGTAGTAAAACCCCATTTATAATGCATGTGGACACTTTGAACTGGTAATGCATGTGGTTTTCAAACAATGCAATTGAATTACAACGTGAAAGCATCTGCATAAAGGGTTTCACTAGTAATTGATACTGGGCTTCTTCATGAGTTAATTGCAGCAAGGTTGCACTGTGTTCCCGACTGAATGCAGGTTAATCAGGCGATAACTAAGGCTACGATTATGGAATGGAAGTCACGGTGGTCTGGGGCAATCATGAATTTAAATAAATTCCGTGAAATCTTGGATAAGGAGCTGGAAAAACATTAGATTAGGTGCTTCTGTATTTCTTAAAAAAACAAACCAAAAGTCATGCACTGAAACTACAAATCTGCATTTTGTGGGTTCTGCCAGCGCCGCGTGTGGTGGTGGGTGGGTTGTTTTAAGTTTGTATTTATAAAGATGTATACTAGTAAAAGAAGACAAGGAATATATTGTTTTATTCACAAGTGATTAATTATTGAATCGAAGGGAGCTCTGCAATTGCTTGTGCACACCACCGTTGGCTGAAGGGCTTTTACTAGGGGGAGCTCTAGGGAGCTTTGCTTAGCGGGTATTGGCCTACTCTTCCACGCTGGCTAGACGTCTTGAAAGAGGTGGACGAACCCCACCGCACATGGCCTGCCGATCGATCTTGCTGTGGTTTTCACACCTGATGATGATTGCTTGTGTTGCAGTCGAAACGTCGTGATAATTGTATTGTTTAATATTTTTATTATTTTATTGTTTCCCTTCTACGTGACTTTACCAAAAGAACCAAGAATATGAATCCCTGCAGTCACGAAAGCTTTAAATCAAAATTTAATGGTCGACCCCCTTAATTCTGCTGGGTGGACAGAGAGGTGAATTGTTACACGCCTAATAAATATAATACAATGGGCTCATGAATCAATATTTATTAATACCTACATATATATCTTTAGAAAAAAATAAATGAAGAAAAAAAACTCTGACACATATTTTCGAATATATGGGCTAAAAATATATTCAGTTCAGATGCAATACAGATTTCAAATCTGGACGTTTGATTAAACATTTTCCTCTCTTTGAAAATTGCCTGTGGCCCGATGGTGCAATATGGCTGACTCTTTTCTGATATATTTTGTGAATTCCTCAAACATTGAGAAATTTGGATTTACAATTTTTTTTTGTTTTACTCCGTGATGGAATCTTGAGTAATTATTATTTGTCTGCAAATATAGCAGGGTGGGAAGCCTCAAAATATCGACTGAATCGCCAACATAGATTCGTGTGTTGTGCTTACACGTGTGCATGTATTTAGAAGTGTGTGTGTATATGCATGTGTGGACATTCTTGTGTTTGTGTGGAGCGGTGGCGAAGTGGTTAGCGCCACGCTGTGCTACGAACCCCGTTCCCCAGTTCGATTCCCGCTCACGGCCAACACCCGCGGCGATTATCTGAACCGGTCCTGGGCCTCCCCTAGGTCGACTCAGCCTCAAATGAGTACCTGGTGTGGGGGTGTAAACATCGCCACTTGGGAGAAAAAGGTTGCCTGGCATGGTGCTGGCCAACCAGCCCCCTCGTGTGCCATGCCGGCCTTCATAGGTACAACTAGATTTTGATTTAAAGCTTTCGTGACTGCAGTAATTCATATTCTTAGCTCTTTCGGTAAAGTCACGTTGAAGGGAAACAATAAAATAATAAAATATATAAAACAATACAGTTTTATTGTTTCCCTTCAACGTGACTTTACCGAAAGAGCTAATAATAGGTACAACTAGCTAACAGTACTTGCCCCAGCAGTCCTTTAAGGCTATAAGGGGGATCTTTTTGAGCCCTAAGTGCATCAAGTTCAATCCTTTGTGAATGCAAGAGATCAAGGGATAAATAAAAGAACGTTGGCCATTGGGTGTCAATGCCATTAACACACTCTCAATGTAAATAATCTTACAAGTGCAAGGGGTGCATTTTCCTCACGTAAAATATCTCACAGGGTTTCCAAGCACCGAGTAATATAATTATCTCAAAAATATCCAACAAGGGCATGAAGCGGCATTGAATCATCAATCGATATAAATCGTTCAGCTCACAACGATGGGTGCAACAATCGACGTATATTGAATGCAATGGTGATCACGTGATGCTCTACAGCCACTAGAGGCAGCTAGATTCTCCATGATGGAAATAAAAAAAAATGGGCTCGTAAAATCACGATTGTGAACCACAGCAATTTCCTAACGCCCATATTATTTACCCCGTAAGAAAACATAGTCAGTACAAACTCGATTTGATGCTTTCGTGACTGCAGGAATTATTCTTTGGTTCTTTCGGTAAAGTCACGTTTAAATAGAAAATAATAAAATAGAAAATAATAAATTATTTTCTATTTTACCGAAAGAACCAAAGAATAGTCAGTACAAATTAAGAATCCAACTATAGCTCTTTTTCATTTAAAAAAAAAAACTAGCAAAAGTAATTGTACTCTAATGTGTATATTGACTTTGATAACCATTTCCTTGACTTGTGTGTCGAAGATCAGCCTCATGAATTAATAAACTTATCGTGAGTTATACTTCGGTGCTCATATTTACGCGTATCATTAATTATAGAGCAGCAAATGCCCCGGACATTTATAGTTAATCATATTTCACGGGCGTTGATTCATTCAACGTCTATATTTCTTTCGCCGTTTCGAAGAGTGACATTTTCTTGAAACAATTCCGTTTAAGCGTCACTCTTAGTTTATTTGCGGGTGCTTGCTGCAATGCTTAATGGCAAGAAATGGTGCCTTTCGTATGAGAAAACAAAACTCCGATCCCATGCATGTTGGGCCCTCACCTTGGGTGGTCTAGAAGTGGCTGGGGAGGAGGGGAAAAGAACGAACTGAGAAATCTACAGACTGTGCTTTTGTGATCGGAGTTAAACAGATTACAGCTTTATGGACTTGCAAAAAAACAATGGCATTTGAAGAGATTTTTTTAATGTACATGGAGTCCATTTTCGCAGTCATCTGAAAGTGGTGGGGAGGGGGTGGGAAATACAACAAAAAAAATGTCTATCTCCGAACAAATCCATTATGCAAGGAAGTGGAATTTTGAAATTTACAACTGTGACTTAGGCATCTTAGTTTGGTGGTAGTCATGAATCGCACGCGGGCAATCAGACTTAGTTAATTGCTTCGCATCGATCGTGCCGCGTTCGAAAATTGTCTCGTCTCTTTTTTCCCGTGACCAGAACAATCGGCGCACGAGCGAGCTGCGTCCTGTCAACCGGCCAACTCGTTACGGTAATTCCTACCTCCCAGTAATCTCGATGTGTTAGTGTGTAAATTAAGTAATTGTAATGTATAAACCTTCATCCGCAAGGATACGTACCCTTCCCTTTGGTTTATAGTCTGGCACTCGATTAGAATGAGTGCCAAATTCAATCCAACCGAGACTTTTAAGAAAATTACCTGTCAGCGATTACTGAACTCTTACTCTGGTTTAACTTTTTGTATGAACCCAATTGAAGGTAATCTACAAATAGGTGCTTGCACCTTTTAACCGTCCTTTACCAAACAACTTGCAGCATATTTTATTTGTTATAATCATTATTTGTTTTTGTTGTAGCACCCGCCTATACACCCGGTTGCCTCAGAGCGCTTCACATCTTATTTCAACACATTTGAAAGGGCACCCCCAGTGGCAGCTGTCCTTGGGCGCAAGGTGACTCAGAACCTGGTCTGCAAACGGCATTAGTCTGGCAGTAGGGGGCGATGATTGCTATAAGTAGTCCCAATTGAGTAATTTGCGGTTAACTTGTTGCCTGTGTATTAATCCTTACATGACCAGCCTCGTGTTAGCATTAATGTACATTAAGCTAATTGTGGGTGGACGCTCTTTCTCCTCTCCTGCAACCAATGTCCGAAACTCCCTTTCCCCAGCCATCCGTGCTGTTGGCTGCCTGCCCCTGTTCAAGTGCAGGCACAAGACCTTCCTGTTTTCC